TTAACGCAACTGCATGCATTAAAAGTTGCCTTTTATAATACTAAAATGTGTAAAACTAATACATAACTGCGTTTATAAAGTATACCAATTTTGTGACAGTTTTAGTCGAGCACTTGGCCAGTCGGTCAATCGGCCAATAACGTCTTGGCACAGTGACGATGCAAATTAATTAGGCTGCCATACAAATTGAATCTCATTAATGAGGGACAGTCGTGCAATTCGATTAGTCTGCCACTTTAACTAGTACTGACTTATTTACTCTATTTTCTGTACTATTTACTCAAAGGAAGTTTTACCGCGATAATACACAGGGTCTTTCAGTGCAAAGGAAGACGCTCTAATTAGGGGCAGCCAGATTCGGAGACTGCCACCGTCTTAGTAGTACCTGTGTGAGTGTGTGTGAGCGTCTGAGTGCGTCTGAACGACTGGTGAATGCATTTGCAGACAGGTAACCATGGCTGCAGTTGACTTGGCCATAATGACAGTGCCACGAGCACTGGAGCCATTCTCCGGCGGCGACTGTCTACCAGTGACAGTGGAAGACGATCTGGCAGGCAAAAGCTTCACTGCCAGCAATTCTCTCGCAGAACCGTGCATTTGAACGGAGGTGGTGGTGAGCACCTCTGCCAGTGTACTCTACTATTGAACATCTTTTGGCCTTGTGCACCTCTCTCTCTCTCTCTCTCTTTAATTGGGCTTTGTTCAGCTAAAAGCACTAAATCTAAAAGCAGCCTGCAAGTGTCACCGACAGCTCCAGCATGTGTCATGCATTCTACAAATACTTTCTTATCACCAGCACTAGCTTCATGGCAAGGTGAGCCAGATGGCACATTCCTGCAACTATTGTACATTTGTTTCTCACTTTTATGTTTTCCCCCCTATTTCATTGGATAGCTCTGGCTTATATTTCATAATTCTTACTCGCTGGCTTTGGCCACTGCCCATTCATGATTACTCCGATTATGACTGGAGACTGGTCCCCCAGTGCATTGGGGCAATCTGTGAGCAGCTAAATTAGAGAATGTAGTAAAATTCTTTGACTGGGAAAAGTTGCCGCCATTGATTACAAGCAACACAGTTGACTGCATTTATTCCAAAATCAGACTAACTTTTTCCGTTTTCCTTTAGGTTTATTATTCTTCTCCGTCGGCCTGCTCATTGTTCTTCGTGAGCGAGACAAGGAAATATTTTACTTTACCATTCTTCTGTTTTTGCCACTTTTTGCCATAGTAGTCTTGGTGATTGTGCAAATGATTAACAAAAGGGAGCTTACTTTCAATCTGAGCGACGGGTTCTTACTAGCCGTAAATCTACTATTTATTGCAATACTGGTCAACTTATTTTTGCTGAGACAGAGCATCATTCGGCGATCGGTTCGACAGGCAATCACACAGCGGCAACGCTACAAAAAGAGCAGAGATAAGCTGGAGGTGGATTTGTAGAGAGTGCAAACACTTAGTGAAAGTGTCCGGGCAAGTATTTCTTACTTTGTGTCAACTCATCTGTCAACCAGAAGTGTCTGCCGGTTGGTTGGTCAGTCGGTTCGACTAGTTGCTGGTCACTGAAAAGTGCTCATTCACTGCTGACTGGTGCCGTCCAGTGGTCAATTGGAGTGCCTATAAAAGCACTGGCGAGTAGAGCAGCAGTCCGGACAGTGCTACGATGAGTCTCCCGGTGATCTACAGCCTCCCCGTTGTCCTCCTAGCTTCCTGCCTCTGTCTCGTCTGTGAGGTGAGCGGACAGGAGGCAGTGTACCTGTCCAGCGGCCAGGCACAGTCCACCAAAATGGCGCCGATGGTGTACTACAAACCGAAGGAGCCGCCGCCCCCGAAGGTGACCACTGTCGAGCCGAGCACTGAGCCCAGTGGTCAGCAGCAGTACTACAGCATGGCGGAGAACTACTACCAGGACTACAAGGGACCCACTAATGGGCCGCAGAAGTATGCCCTAGCAGACTATGGGGCACCGTCAAGTGAAGCCCCCTCTGTGCACACTGATTACGCCGCAAACACAACACCGGCTCCGCCACCGCCGCCGCCGAGAGATCCGGGAGATATACAAGGCCACTTGGAGAACCTCCTTAAACTCCTTCTCACCAGCAAAGTGAGCTCTCCCAAATTTCTCCTCTTACTGCCGCTCACTGGAAAGGGGGCAGCCTATGCAAAGCCCGATCCGCCACCAACTTCAACGACAGTCAAACCGAAGCCTCGAAAGAAGACCAAATACATTGTGGTTAACTGATTTCAGATGGTCAAGCTTTTAATATAAAAACGATATAAATAAATAAATATATATTATTTCTAATCATCATAACCAATCACATATTTACATGGCCGAGGTAATAAATATGGTAATACCAGTAAATGTTAAACGCTTTCAACATCAAAAGCAAATGGTTCTGCCAGTGTTGGAGGAGCGCTGCCCTCAATCGAGTACACAGATGCGTGGAGAGTTATGAAAAACAAAGTCGCTCCGACAATCCAGAACAAAGCTCCACCGGCGCCGACGATGTAAAGGACTGGTAAGGACAGAATAGACAGTCCGAGGTATTGCTGGCCAAGGTTGAGCTTTCGACCCAGTATCTTAACTGGGCGCTCGGCGTTTTTGAGCGTTATAATGTAGCCGGCAGCGAGAACAGCAGAGAGGACCAAAAGTAACAGGGGCGAGGTAAGGATGCAGTAGATGAACAAAATTATAAAAACGCAAAAGTAGTTGCTTTGGAAGTTCTTCAAATTGGTGACGATTCGCTTAGACCACTGTTGGATAGATACAGGCAACTGCATCTTGCTGAAGAACAACAAGTAAAANAGGTTGAGCTTTCGACCCAGTATCTTAACTGGGCGCTCGGCGTTTTTGAGCGTTATAATGTAGCCGGCAGCGAGAACAGCAGAGAGGACCAAAAGTAACAGGGGCGAGGTAAGGATGCAGTAGATGAACAAAATTATAAAAACGCAAAAGTAGTTGCTTTGGAAGTTCTTCAAATTGGTGACGATTCGCTTAGACCACTGTTGGATAGATACAGGCAACTGCATCTTGCTGAAGAACAACAAGTAAAATATATGCATGTTTTTTCCTATGTACACAGCTTACCTGGTGTCAATAAATGAGCCCCAGCTCTGCATCGTACTCCATCGAGCCAAAAGAAACTGTGTACAGTTGTAATAATAAATTATCGTTAATTTGTTAATATCAAAGGCAATTCAAAACTTGCTTGTTTAGGCGTCATTTGGGTGAGGTTGTACTTGGCACTCATGGCGAGATTGGATATTGTTCCATCCAATTCTCCCATTGGCTCTCCCATTCCGAGAGAAGTTGAACTATTGTCCATAAAGCCATTTGAGCCGCCGATGTCAGTTCCGGCCGGATTGCCTTTTGACACAAATTGAGGTTCGTTTGGTGCCATTGTCGAAGCCATGTTTATGTCCAGGCAGACTTGTTAAAAATACTTCCGTATTGGTATTTTGGAATGTGATCAAATAAAAAGACACTGTTGATATCAGTTGATGGCAGGTAGATGATATACCAGAAAACGTTTAGAAACACGTCACGTGAAGCCTGACTGTGCGCCTCTCTAAAAGGACGTCAGCTTGACTTTTTGCAATCACGTTGTATAGAATAAACTCCCGTTGCTTGAATATGTCATTGATCACAAAGATAAATTTCAGTTTGTACTGTTAAAATTTAACTTGCATTAACTAGAAAAAGGTAAAAGAAAATTTTAGTTTAAACAACCATCAGACGGCAGTTTTGTTGTTCTCGTTACCGGCTGTTTAGAAGTAAAGTACCAGAGATGCGCGAAAAAGTGGGAAGTGTCGTCTTGGAAAAGTCTTTAGGGTATTGAATGTGTGTTTGTACAAAAGTGCTTTTGCTGAAAAGTAAGTGGAAAAACAGTAAACAGTGATGTCAGAGGCCTAGGAAAACAAAAATGATCATGCACAGCTGGCTTTGTAGCTCCGCCTCCGAAAGCATCTGGCTATTTTCCATGAGTGAGAAAGGAGGCAGTTTGGGTCAACGACGTCGTCTTGTCTCGACAAAACAAGATTGACTCCCGAAGTTTTGTTGCTCAAGTTTTAAAAAATCTACGGCTGCAAAATGACGACTTCTCAAAGCGCAGATCAAGCATCAGTCATGTATATTGAATACTACCTTGATGTTATGGAAAACATTCCAAGTAGCGTGGCGCGAGTCATGTCGAGGATTCATGAAATTGACATTAAGCGCACAAAAATTTCAAGCCTTATCGACTCGGCCTTGCAAAGTTATCTCCGAAATGTAAGTGATTTTTAATTAGGTTGATGATTTTTCCTTTTTTTTAACTTGATTGTTTTTGTTCCCATATAGCCACTATCTGAAAACGAGAAACACAAACTGCTGAACAAGTTTCTATCCTTGAATGTTCAGCTTCAAAACTTATCCGACACAAAGATTTGTCTTGCACAGGCAATATATGACCAGATTGAAATAAAAGCACGCCAACTCGACTCACAATCACGTGGTTTGAGTCTTCACAACGGATCATCTTCATCACAGTCAAATAATAATTCCAGCAACTCTAATAGTGCCAACTCCGGTAACTCAAATTCATACGCAAACACCAACGGTCTTACGAGTTCATCTTCTCGTGGAGCACTATGCAACAACAACAGCAGCAGTTACAATGGAAGTCATTCAATGAACAAATCCGACACTGCCCACAGTTCAGAGATGAGATCATCTACATTAGTAAACAGCAAAGATAATGGCAACAAAGATGTATCTAATTCTGCTCAATCCTCTGACAATGGCAAGAGGACAAGGCGAAATGCTGGAAACAACAACTCCAATGCAGCACACAGCGGCAATGAAAATGAAGATAATGAAGACGAGGATAGTGATGAAATTGAAAGCAGCAAGCAAAACAACAGCAACAACAACAACAACGCCAGTAGCAATGGAAGTAACAACACCAATAATGGCAACAACAACGGCAACAATAATGGAAACGGCAAAAAGGACAACTCGAAGGAGGATACAAATGGTGGTAGTGGTGACGAAGCGGCTGCATCCACGTCTGCGTCTACATCTAATGCTCAGGAACGCACCGGAAAGAGAGGAGTGGCAGCAAAACGAAATGTTAAAAACACTAAAAAGACAAATGAGAACAAAAAGCGGAAAAGCTCAAACAATTACGATGACAGTGTTTACAATAGCATTGATCCTGACGAGCCCACCTATTGCACCTGCGAACAGGTGTCTTATGGCGAGATGATTTGCTGCGACAACAATGATTGCAAAATTGAATGGTTTCACTTTTCTTGTGTTGGCCTGACTTCCATTCCGAAAGGTCGCTGGTAAGTATTATCTGTTTGCCTATGGTATTCTCGGTGTGTTTTTCCTAAACTAATTGTTCTCATTTTCTCTAGGTTTTGTATGGCTTGTCGTGGTGATCGTAGCAACATTCAAAAGAAATCATAGAAGTTTATCACCAATTCATCGATAGGTGCGCCCGCCTTATCGACCATTTTACCATCTTCTATTTTGCATGTAACTTATAGCTTTTCAACTTGACTTAATTATAAACATCTTTTATTACATCTTCTGTGCTCTTTCCACCACAACGTTTTTCTAGTATTCTTTATTTCTACAAACTCACAACTGTAGACATCATTCATTTTTCTGTAAATTATTTATTTTTTATCACCTTTAATTTGTGTTTGACAATAAACAATAAAACATCAGAGGATTACTTGGCAATTGAGCTTATCTTCTCCGTCAGCTCGTCCTGCAGGCTGAGCTGGGTGATCTGCGTTTGGCCATTCTCGTGCGTCCACACTTTGACGGTCCGTTCTTCGGCATTAGGGTCGCTGGAGAGTGGCGGCGCCAGCAGCTGGTGCTTGCCCTCTTCCACCTTGATGGCCACACCTTCGGCCAGAGCGACGATGGGTCTCTTCTTGAGGAGGACGCACTCGTTGAGGCGGTCACCGCGAACTTCGCCCTGGTAGTTGGGCGGCTTCCACTCGTTGAAGTGAGGGTTCAGATTGTACGGCACTAGGTTCAGTGCTCGGTCGCTCTCCGGCCAGATAATGGGCATGTCGTTTGTAGTTCCGATATCAGGTCCGGCCACGTTTGAGCCTGCCGACCAGCCGATGTAGGGAGTCTTACTGGCGCCCAGGACGCGATCACGAATGGCGTCGAGCAGCTGGAACTCGTACAGCTTGTAGAGCAGGTGGAAGGTGTTGCCACCGCCGATCATGATGGCCTCGGCCTTCTTCACCGCCTCGACCATTGCAGCCCGGCCACCATCCCCGGTCTGGTGAATGGGCTTCACGGTGTAGCTGGGCAGAGCCTCCTGGACCTTCTTGCTGTACTCGTCCCAGGTGATGGTCACGCCGGCAAAGGGCACAAAGAGAATCTCCTTGACTGAGGGACCGAGGAAACTGGTAATCAGCGGTGAGGCCCACTCCATGTACCGGGTGCCGGCCATGGTGGAGTTGGAGAACAGCAGCAGACGGTGGTGAGACGCCATGTTCGGTGTGATGGGCAAATGAGTGAAATGAAGTGACTGCAGTACTACCAAATGGGGTGTTTTTATCACAGTTGAAAGTCTGAGTGTCATAAAAAAAATATGACATGAGATAACTTCACGTGGAGACTGAAAAACGTCTCTTGTCCTAAACCAGAGGAAGGCAGCCGTCCTTTGTAGCACTGGGAATGTTACCAATGACTAGGGTTTTCCTCATATTTACAACACTGTTCGCCATTGATTGCCCATCGCAAACAAATGAGTTAAACAAGGCCCGCCAATGACAAATTTTCCTTCGCCAACGACAAATTTTTCTTCGCCAACTGTAATTACAAACAGTGCTTTGTTTTATCAGCAATTATCTCTACAGAGTTGAAAAGAAATTGCTGCGCTGATGATTACGAGCGTAATCTTATAAAAATGATATTTTTCCTTTAAGGGGAACCACTTAGCTTCCCTACACAGGACAAACCGTCGATAGCTCAGATGGTAGAGCGGAGGACTGTAGAAAGGACTGAAAAGTCGTCTAAGATATCCTTAGGCCGCTGGTTCAATTCCGGCTCGACGGATTCTTTTTTATTCTTAAGCAACGCCCGAAAATCGTTAACGAGTAAAAGAAGTGAATCATTTTTACAAAAAGCAAAAATTTTTATCGAGAATTCACAAAATATCTAAACA